GAATTAGTGTCGAGAATCAACTATAATCTATTTTAGTCAAACAGAAAAAAAGTCTACTGCCAACGAAGTTTTTTTCGATATCAATTGTGTTCGTCTTATTTTGTTTTTTTTTCAGTATAATATCAAATTACCATGAACAGATTATCGGTGCCACTTGTGGAACAGGATCTCATTTTCCTTCCTGCGATCAACACCAGTTGTTCATGTGGTTCTTGTTGCTTAAGGTGGTACCAAACACTTTGACTAAAATTAGTTTGGCTCGTTTAATTTTCATAAAATTTTGACAAAATATTTACTTTGACCCTTTGACAAAATTATAAAAATTTCAAAAAACTTGATCCACACACTTTATCAGAAAAAAATCATTGGATATATAGCAGTTTGACAAACACTAATTTTGATCATTGGGAAGCTTAATATTTCCTTCACAATCATTATAGAACGTGATTAAAACGTTCAGCTGATTTTTACAGAGTTATCTCCCTGTAGTGTTTTGTGGACTTGTTTGTCTTTTCGTCTTCTTTCTTTTTTTTTCTTTGCGTTATCAATTTCTTTCGGCTCATGAGCTTTAATTATCCCCTTGGTATATTTCGACTCGTTTTCTCCTATTGTTTTCCTTTTTGTTGTGTATCAATTTTAAATGACAGATGCTATCCAGAAGGGTGTGGATGGGGTTTACAAAATATAGAATAATGGGCAAAAAACATAAAGAATAGAGAAAAATGGACCAAAAGAATAAATAATAGAGAATAATGAGATGCTAAAATATAAAGAATAGAGAATAATGGGCAAAAAGTATAAAGAATAAAGAAAAATGGCCTTAAAATTAAAGAATACAGCAATTAAGGACCCCCAATCTAGACCCTCATCCAGTTGTTGTATTGTTTTGTGTATTTGACTGTTGAAAAAATAAATAAATAAAACAAACAAACAAACAAAAATACGATATCCCTCTATTCTCGACAGTTCAATTTCAAATATTTAAAACGCTCGGCAAGCTTACTTTTTAAATTTGAAAATTTAACTGTCTCAAGTGGGAAAATTTCGTCTCGACCTCGAAACAGTGGTATAGAATCTATATGAACATAATTTTTCAAATTTAGAAACAATTCAATTATATGTAATATTTTCCCATTCTATTTTAGTAATAACAACTTAGACATTAGCAGTGGATATGATTGTCATTCTATTTAGAGGTCAAGTCGATTCAATTGAAACACCAAGCCAATACCATCAACACATCGATGACCTTATCGAGGTTTTTTCCCTCGGAAATAAACGTTGAACCTTCAACGTTGTTCCTACAACTGCACAATCTCAAATATATCTTATGCGTTTGTTTCAAATAGAAATGCATTAAAGAATTTGGAGAAGAAGAAACATACATGTACTATATCTTTAATCCACCATTTTCTACATAGGAAATGCCTGTACCAAGTCAGGAATATGGCAGTTATTTACATTCATTTGATGTGTTTGAGCTTTTGATTTTGCCATTTGATAAGGGACTTTCCGATTTGAATTTTCCTTGGAGTTCGGTATTTTTGTTATTTTACTTTTCACCAGTCAAAGACATTTTCTTTTTTTTTTTATCTTTTTTTAAATATAACGATGTAAATCTAAGGAACTCTAACGAAACTAAGATATTACAGACTAAATCCAAAGCAAGCATGAATAAATATATTAGAACAAATTCATGAACGCATTTTATAGTGTCAATAATTTTACCATTATACTGCGAGATTACATTCAATTGTATTCAGAACAGAAAATAAAATCTACATAGTTACATGTTTTTGTGTCTTTTTGTGATAATGTGAACTTTAAGCATAATAGAGAGGATTAGGCACCGTTTGTACTCAAATTTTGTTATATAATCAAAATTAAAATGGACGTATATGAATAAAGCTGTCACAAGTGCAAAAACGGAGGTAATCGATTTGAGTTCTTTAAATTCTATTTGAAAACCCTGGCCTGCACGCAGAAATATAAACTAACTGTTTGAGTAAGTTGAGAATTATAAGGATTAAACACATTTCGTTTATAGGTTATTTGTGTGTAAACTGGACCAAGAAACTCACAAAGTGTATAAAAAGTCACATTTTAATGAAAAGTTTGTGAGTCCGCTTAATATACACTAATAACCTATAGAAAAAAAAATGTGTTTAATCCTTCTTGTTCTCAACCCGATATTTGTTATCTTTTTTCTTCCATTTTCGGCATTTTTGCAGCCCTATGATTTCATTCCATGACATCTGTATCGTGCATGACTATACCGCTGACAGTGAAACTCGTTTGTTTTTTAAGGACAATATTCATACACAAAAAGATATCCTCTTGTAAGATTCCTACAGAGTCAATTTTCAAACTTCTATTAGTAAGCGTTTCATTTAATTTTGGCAACAATTTCAACGGCGTATGTTGGGCTTTTGGTGCAGCTCCTTATTGTTAATGTATATATTTGTATTTATAGTTAATGCTGCCGGTGCTGCATCAAAATACTTTCATTAATGATCAGAATTTTTTAGAGTAAATGTGCAGGAAACTGTTTCAGTGGTTGTCGTTTGTTGATGTGGTTCTTAAGTGTTTCTCGTTTCTCGTTTTTTATATAGATTAGACCGTTGGTTTTCATTGTTTTACACTAGTCATTTTGGGGTCCTTTATACATTTTAGCTTGCTGTTCGGTGTGAGCCAATGCTCCGTGTTAAAGGCCGTACTTTGTCCTATAATTGCTAACTTTTTATACATTGTGACTTGGATGGAGAGCTGTCTCATTGGCACTCATACCACATCTTCTTATTTATATGTACAGCTCATTATACTTTACTTAAACTTAACTGGGATGGTGTCAGATATTATAACGCATGTATTTTTTTCCCTTTTGCAGGTGCATGATAACAATTTCGGATTTTAGATATATTCCTTTAACACCTAGGAAGTGTATGTGTGCTGATTTAAAGTTATAGGTGTAAAACCACCATTGATTTCCCCCCATTAGTCTTTGTTAAATTTGCACTTTTCAAAAAATTGTGCAGAATTTATCTTTGTTTCTAATAAAGAAATACTTGGCATGAGTAAAGTTTTATCCTGTCCAGTACTGTATAAAAAAATTCACATAACATTTCATTGCATATAAGAAAATAACCATCACTGGAACATAACCAATCAAATTTTCCCCCTTTTTTAACCTTTGTACAAGCTTTAGTAACCATGTAACCTTAAGTTTCCAAAATATTCTATAGAAACCCCAAATAAAAAAATAATGGTGCTTTGAAATACACAAGATATATGTTTATGACCCAGAAATGTTTTACTGCAATGAAATGTAGGATCAATTACCTACAACTGTCAAATTCAAGGGAATATTTTTTTCGACCTATTTTCGCATGCAACCGGATGTGACGTACTATGATTTGGGGGTATTACACCTATATAAACACATGGCATGTGTGGGTATAATTGACATTAACATGCAGATAATTCTATGAAAATAAAATGTTCCTGTCCCCAAGATATCCCCTGTGGAAATGACTATAGGATGAATATGTATGAGGGTGTTGATGGGGGTTTACAGAATAGAGAATAATGGCCAAAAAATGTAAAGAATACAGAAAAAAAAATCTTTTAAAAAAAATGTTTGAGTCATGCTACTTCTTATGGACCACACCGCTGATAAATTAAGATTGTCAAATACCACAGAAGAGCCTTCGTTACATAACTTATCACCAGACTCTTTATCAATGACTAGAGTTAATCTTGCTTTATACAACGATAAAGATTGCTTAATACGTTCAGATATTTCCCAATATGTGACGGACTAATTTAAAGATCAAATTATCGGAAAACCGGAATTGGGTTCTAACAGATCCGAAAAGGACTCACACGATACAAATCATTACTTACCCACTTACCAAATATGTAGTGATACTGGTCAGTAGTACAAAATGTACTTGAGAAATGTTTGTAGACATATTTGTTGGACAAAAGGTCAGACGGGCATATGGATAATGTGAATATTTATATGACCGATATGATTAACGGAAACTTAATGGAGGGTGGTAAAGGGTTATTTTCGTGCAACGTGTTTTGCCATTTTTATTTCACGTGCAGCCGTGAAAAAAGGTTCGTTATTCACCGTCAGGCGTGTTTCGTAAAATCGGTAAAAAGATCAACGTGCAAGAAATTTTTAATTGTTCGTTCATCGTGAAATGGCAATTTTATTTCAAATGGTAGCTCCCTAAACATATTTCACAGAATAAATTTGCTAATGACATAAACATTCCTTATTCATCTTTCCCAGCAATTTATCAAGTTTAAATAAGCCGTTAGTAAGGGAGACAACTGAAGGAGACATTACTTCATACTTATTATAATTAATATTGATATTCACGCATGTAAAAAGGAAGAAAAAACATTCTAAAGTCTGACTATAATTTTTATCATTGAAGTTGTCATTGACAAGAATTAATTCCATTACGTCCAAAATTATAGTTTCGCACCCAATAGAGTCCTTACTGTCAACCGAATCACATTAAACAAAAAAGAAAGGGGAAAAGAAGTGAGGAGATTTCAAGGATCGTATCTTAAACCATATGTCGCAGAAAAACCGACAATGTTAGGACAAAAAGGAAAACCATCGAAATTACTATCTGGTTCACAAAACATTACATAGAAAATCAATTAAACAACACAAACCTTTAATTACCTTTAACCGGAAGTGAATACTGGTGCTCCGGAAGGGTAAGCAGATTTTATTGTCCGTTTGGGTAGTTGGACCTTACCACACCAAGACAAATATAGATAAGAACTCAATAAAATAACTGGCATACTAGTTAAGACGCTAGAAAGCAAACAAAATAAGAAACAAAAACAAATAACAAAAAATAAAAAAAAACCAAACATATAACAACAAAAAAAACCATTCAAAAACGTAAATCTAAAACCTCTGATTGCCCATTAAAATGTATTACCTTAACTATATATCTACTTATTATTTACAGTATTGTCCAGCGTTTTCGAGATTGTTTGTACCAGTTTGATACCTGTTCCGAGATTCACACATTCCGCTTAATGACGATGTTTGATGAGTGCAAAGACGATGTCTGCTTTATTTTGAAAGAATTAAAGAATTAGTGTCGAGAATCAACTATAATCTATTTTAGTCAAACAGAAAAAAAGTCTACTGCCAACGAAGTTTTTTTCGATATCAATTGTGTTCGTCTTATTTTGTTTTTTTTTCAGTATAATATCAAATTACCATGAACAGATTATCGGTGCCACTTGTGGAACAGGATCTCATTTTCCTTCCTGCGATCAACACCAGTTGTTCATGTGGTTCTTGTTGCTTAAGGTGGTACCAAACACTTTGACTAAAATTAGTTTGGCTCGTTTAATTTTCATAAAATTTTGACAAAATATTTACTTTGACCCTTTGACAAAATTATAAAAATTTCAAAAAACTTGATCCACACACTTTATCAGAAAAAAATCATTGGATATATAGCAGTTTGACAAACACTAATTTTGATCATTGGGAAGCTTAATATTTCCTTAACAATCATTATAGAACGTGATTAAAACGTTCAGCTGATTTTTACAGAGTTATCATGAGCTTTAAATATCCCCTTGGTATATTTCGACTCGTTTTCTCCTATTGTTTTCCTTTTTGTTGTGTATCAATTTTAAATGACAGATGCTATCCAGAAGGGTGTGGATGGGGTTTACAAAATATAGAATAATGGGCAAAAAACATAAAGATTACGGCCCTTGACTAAGGTATCGGGTGTGTAACTACTTAAGAGCCAATCCGCCAGAAAACCATGCAATATTCAGAAAATCGTCCAAATCGACAATCACAACTTGACAAATTTTTATTCATCATCTTAATCCTTGACATAAAATAAAAGAATTTGACCACTTAATTTTTCCCAGAATCGTATCTATTTTTAGTAACAGCCTCATTTGCATAATTCTGTAAATTCATAATGAAACCAAGGAAAAATCCAACTTTTTTATGCCTTTTAAGAATGACCCAGAAGCATATTAAATGGGATAGTTGAGTTTTTAGAGTAATGTCAGCTGAAACTCATCCATTTTACTATGTTATGATCAATACAAATGAAAATTTAAACAATTTGGCACATTGCCAGGAGCAGGGACACAAAGGCGGGGTTTTTCATACATGAATTTACGTGGTTTTCATTTGCTTTTATCTTGCAAGACCCATTCCGGATTTGTTTGCAACTTATATCGGTTTTAAATATGGGGTATGTTTTATATCAAAACAAAATATTAAGCTTGGCAAATGACTATTATATGTTAATTTATGCCTTGGAAGAATGGTGATTTTAGTCCCAAATTGACACATTTTGATTTTGATTTTAATTAAATTCTAAACACAATTGGTACTAAAATAGCTCATAAAATCATTCGAACAAGTAAAATCAATTTGTCTGAAAAATGAAATAAGACGTATTTGTACTGCAAGTCCAAAAATCAATAAATTGTCTGAAACCAGGGAGTCCATCTTTTATGCTCTTCCATCGCTTATCTCCCTTGGGTAAGATCTCAAACATGTCAGCTCCCAGTGATGGTTTGGCAGACAAATGTTTACAGTGAAGTTTGTGACTTTAATAATCTACGATGAGCATGTGGGCTATCCCAGCCTTATACATCTACATATTACAAACTATTTAAGATATCTGAATGCACTAAAGACCAAAATAGCATTTCCAAAAAAAATAATTACTGCCAAGAAATTTGACAATCATGACAATAATTTAGTGAATAAACATGATAAATATTGATTGGAAAAATAAGTCCATGAACAGCAAAAAGTGTTTTTAGATTTCAACGAGCAAAACAAAAGTATTCTAAATCATTCTTCGTAAAAAAAAAAGTGAACGAGTGGAACCTGTCTGTGACCTTGCTCGCACCAGAATTGAGATTGAGAGTGTCAAAACTGCTCTGGCGCACCATCAATAAATCAACGACACTCTCTCTACCGTGGTTTTGAAACCAGCATTGGTAACTAAACATATTCATACAGATACAGACTACCATTCATCTACATTTAGGAAGTCTGAATAATACTGAAAACTATGGTGTAGAATTTCCAACAGGACTCCTTATTTTATATAAGACAAGGAGTGGTTTATTTTCCCATGGTTGTTACATCATTTTGTCTTTGAATATGCTCGAAGTACAGGGACTTTTATGGAATTCATTGACATGATAGTCAAGCAAGATGTCAACATCTCGTCCAAACCTCTTCCAGCAAAGCCAAAGCTGACCAAGGATCTTCACCCTTTCAAAACAGGCTGTATACAGGACGAGTTATTCCGGTAGGAACAGGTACAAATCTTACAATCAATTTTCATTTGTTCCATATAGTCAATCTGAAATTAGGGGACCAACAATTGATACATTAGCTAGATTAAAAAAAGGAGGGGGGGGGGGGGGGGGGGGGGGGGGGGGGGGGTGTTGAAGGGGCATGTGAATATTCTTTTACACCTGACCTGTTTCTAAGACATCTTATTTATTTCCTATGGCAAAGTGCAAGCAAATAATATATATCTGTATATACATTGTTCTGTCTTGGGACCATTTGATTAAAAGAGCAAGGGGGAGGGTTAGAATGGTCAAAATATTTAAGTCCTTGTCAGCTTAGGACAGAATTTTAATTTTCAAGCTATTAACCAGGGTACAATATATATTTATTTTCTGCTTAAAAAATCAATTTATATACCAGAATCATGATAATAATCAAAATCTATTTCAACATATTCAACGTTTAGCAGGTCAGGTTTTTATTCTCTTCCCCTAAGTTATATTTTCAGTTCTTACTGGAAGTTGTTCAGCTCTTTGTCTACTAAAAAAACTTTTATCTCGTGGAAAAGCCTCCTACAAATACATGTTTTACATACAACATACTGTACATGTAACACTAGACAACTTTATCCAGAGAATAATATTTTTTTAATGAACTAATAGGCCATGGAGACTAAAAAAATCAAAAGCATTGCAAACTTTTGTAAAGTTCAATTTTAGGACCCTACATGTACATGTATGTAGATTACTTATAGAGCCCTTTTTAAAAGAAAAAACATACATTTAAACTACATGCACAGTGATGCTACACTACCCTACATTTCCTGTCTGATATATTTTATTTCATGTAAAACAAAATTGAAGAATTATTTTATAGTTTAACACTTTTTATTTGTAGGGCTATATATATGCAAGCAATGCTCAATTAAGATGAATTTTTGTAAAAGTGACAATAGCCAGGTCAAACTAAATACATGTATAGAAGAAGATATTGGTAAGTTACTATTAACTTATATATTAATTTAACTGTTTGTATAACATGGTAATCATACAAAGTATATGTAATCACTTATATAATAACATAATTATACAATTACATGTTATACATTTGTACATCAGTTTAATTAAACAGGTCTTTGTTAACTTGGTTTTCCCATTGAAAAATCACTTTGCTAATTTTAATTTGTAGTACTATATTGGGCGGCTCCTATAGTTTCCATTCAATAACTAACAATGACTAATGAACTGTTCATACATTCCATTTCAATTATTTTATTTATTAATACGTATTACTTTTACTGTTAAGTCTGTTTTTTGTGATATCCATTTTACGTGACTCTGTATTTATGTATCCTGTCATACTTTGAACGACAAAATTATTTTATGTCTACCTGTGCGAATTTCAAACGCGCGGTTTTACGCCAGTACTTAAAACCTTCCATCCTTTATGGGTGGATTTTACATAGATATATAAAATCGTATAATATAAGCAAAATGAGGATGTTAAATTTGATTTATGCCTTTTTGTGCTTCTTCGTTACATTTGTTTGTTTTTATAGTGATTAAGATGATAACACAATGTTGACTGCTGTACCCCTATTTTTGACAATTTTACCTATTGTGTCTGTTTGTTTTGTTCACGCATCGTTGTCAATATAATGGAATTTGATGCAACTGTCATACAAGTGAGAGGTTTATTATCTAGCTATAAAACCAGGTTCAATCCACCATTTTCTACATAAGAAAATGCCTGTACCAAGTCAGGAATATGACAGTTGTTATCCATTCGTTTGATGTGTTTGAACTTTTGATTTTGCCATTTGATTGGGGACTTTCCTTTTTGAATTTTCCTTGGAGTTCAGTATTTTTGTGATTTTACTTTTTCAAATATAAAAGGGGGAGATTTTTATTGGTACTTTTGAAGATATTTCACCTGTTCGATTAATTGATTGGTTGTTGGTAATGCTAATGTCCAGTGGCAAATAGTTCATGCATGTTTAGGACAAGAACAAATTAAAATAAATACATTATTTGGGTTCTTAATATGCTAAATCTTACAATGTATTTAAATAATTTAAGATGTTGCAATTGGGCCCCATTTTAAATTGGTTCACATTGATTTCAAAATGGTCCAAAATTTTTTTTCTATTTCTACACAACTTGAATTCTTGAGGTTCTTTTGATATACAAAATGTTTTATATTTAGATTTTTAATTTTGGTCCGGTTTTCAAATTTGTCCACATTTTAAAGTCCAAAGGGTCCAAATTTTAACTTAGTTTAATTTTAACAAAACTTGAACTCTAATTACAATGAATTAGGGTTCTTTGAATGATAAATAGAAATAATCAAATATCCTGAATATAAATATGTACTTAGATTTATGATTTTGGTCCCAGTTTTCAAGTTGGTTCAAATGGGTCCATAATTTAACTGTGTTTGATTTCAACAATAATTTTAAAGATGCTGATTCAGCCTGAATCTAACCTGTATTTAGTTTTTGGGCCCTATTATGAAATTGGGTTACATTGAGGTCCAAAGGGTCCAAAATTAAACTAAATTTTAAATCTTAATTTGATCTTGGGGTTCTCTGATATGCTGAATCTATTAAACTTTATCTTTATACCATATTTATTCTGTGTTAGAAACTTATTCTTTGTCAAATATTTAATCCCATTACAAATTTAGAGCTGTTATTGCTTGAATGTTCTGTCCAAACTTGCATTTTTTCTTCATCTTCCACAAAATTTGTCCTTTTCTGAGATAACTGGTGTTATCTTTTTAAATTAAACTTTAGTGAAAAGAAAAGCACAATATGTGGATGATTATCTGATGTCAAACATTTTCAAGATGGCCACCAAGGATGGCACAAATTTCAACACTGGTTAATTTAATGAAAATTGTTAATTAGGGATAGTCGTGGTAGTTTGACTTGCTAAACAAATTAAGGTTGTTTTTTCTTCCAAAATGGCAAACATTTTCAAGATGGCCTTATATGAAAATTGACATTAAGGAATTATAGCACTTTTGACATGCCAACAAAACAATGAAATTTTTTTTTAAAGATGGACACAGCAAATAAAGGGTAAAATTTTCAATTTTGTTGAGTTTGATTTTAAAGAATATTGATATTTAGCTGTACTTTGACACAGAGAACAGATATAAAGATGGCCACCATTTCAAAGATTGTCACTAAAAGCGGTCAAATTATCACCATTGTCTGTTTTCAATGTAAAATTATATTGAGAGGTAATTTGACATGCCAAACCAAATGGAGGCAATTTTTATTGTTGTAAAGATGTTAAGGGCTATTTGGACATGCTTAAAAGGAGTGGATATTAACTATTCTGCAAAAATGATTTGGCTTTAGTTGGGAGAATTTTGTAACTACATCCACTTACAGTAAAAGTTGTCAATTTTATTTCCTGTCAGTGGTATATATGAAATTAAAAAAAAATGTGGTATGATTGCCAATGAGAACAAATGACATAGAAGTAAAGCTATAGGTCTTCATATGCCATATGGCCTTCAACAATGAGCAAGACCTATACTGCATATATATTCAGCCATAAAAGGCCCCAAAATAAGAAAATGAAAAAATATGAAAACTAACGGCCTGATTTATGTATGTATGTTTTGTGGTTTTCAGATCTAGACTCGCAGCTAACCTTTCTGTCAGTGTCAACAACAACTGAACTTTCACAGCAGTCAACATCAGATTGGGAGACTGATAATGCTTCTAACAGAAACAATTTCAACCAACCAAACAAGCAACAGAAACTTTCTAACTTTAAAACATCAGTTAAATCTTCCATGGGATTATGTCTCAAAAAATAACAGTTCATCATTTATGGAGATTTTAATGTTGTGGTTTTTCTTTTACAAGAAAGTTAATGTACACTTATTTTATAGTAAAACCTATAGCCGTTCAAGTATAAAAAAACACATTCAACTTTATTGAAATTTGAAGATTCATATGACTTATTTTAATTCTGTTATCTCCGAGGATGCGATGTAGAGCATTATAGGTACAGTAATCTTAACAGCTATCCAATTTCATTCAAAATTCTTTATAAATTTTGCACTGGTATATATAGACTAAGTAATTTGTTTTTCGTCTAGTTGTGGGATTTTTTTTTAGAAGCATTTATGATTTTCATGTTTGTATTGACCACATTGCAGCAACATAGATATAGGTACCTGGCAAATCTTGCCTTGTTAGCATACTAGTCTCAAAGGGTCATAAAAAAATTTCCATCACTAAGTGTCTGTTAAAATCATCTGTTTACAGTTTTCACTTTTAAACCATCATCTTAATAACTTTAGAAGAAGTGTCATACATATATATATGTATACAAAATTTAAAAACTTTTCAATATATATATATTGATAAAAACTATCAACATGACAAGATCTAAATACCCAAAATTTTTCTGAAAAATTGGACATAACATCTATGAGCTATTGTCCCTGAAATGTGTAAATTTACAAATTTTCACAGTTTTCTGCTACTATCCGACAACTATATCAATATATTATAAGAATAAATTGCAAAAGTGGTCAGTAGAAACTTTTTTTTTACAGTCTGAACTTATTCTGAATTGTTTAACTTCTAATTTAAATTGATTGCGTTTGAAATATGTGTTTTTTATTGTTTTAGGTGCACAATTTGTCAATATGATCTATTTTGGCTCCTGGGAGCCTCTAGATTTATAATGAATAATTTGTATTTATGTATGATTATTTTCTTAATGTATTAAATGAAACATTAATTATTCTTTTCCATTTGTTGTTATACTTATTTATAAGTCCAGATCTTATCATATGTCAGTAGTTACAAATTAGACGGCAAAATTGAGAAAATTTGAATATGCAGGTTACCCCATTTTGTTGTGGCATATACCAGACACCAACATTATTTGCCGAGCTTGATATTTTTTTTGATTGGGTATATATAGTTATACTTTGCAAGTAGATATGTTGTTTTACAATAATAAACGGGTCTTGGAGTATTTTGGCTCTGAAAGATGACCAAAATCAGCCATTTTGGACATGTAGCTAAATAAGACATATTGAAACAGTTAAGATTATACATACACTTAATAGACAGCATTGTTAATTCTATGCATTCTTACACTTAAAGTGATGTATTACTAGGAACAACTATCAAAAAATTATAAATGTTCCCATATTTTTTTATTTAAACCAGCGAAATATGCCAAAAAAGGCTTATTTTTGCTGTTTTCGAGCAATTTCATCTGTTAAAACATGGCGCTCAAAAAATATCCAGATCGGTTCAATATTGTCCCAAAAAAATTTGTGTGGTTATTTACATTACTAAGGTGCACCAATATGCCAAATATGAACTCATTTGGAAAAAGTGACATTCGGACGGTTTTGCATGGTTTTCTGGCAGATTGGCTCTTAAAGACAAAAATCGTAATTAACTTTGTTTTCTCATCGACAATCACTTCATAGTATTATAGCTGCTTGCTTGTATGTAGTTCTAGTCTTTAAGTGACTAATTGTAGAAAAAAAAAACTTTAGAATAGCTGAATTCAGGCAAGTTATGGCAAAATCTAATGAAGAAAGTGAACCCAAAATGGCGTCCTATGCAGAAAAAATTAAAACAGACCCTAAAACAATTGAACCCTCAGACATGGTTAGTGTTAAACCTGTATTTACATTGGAATCAGATGTCTTTGGATCAATATCTGAAGGAGAGACTCTGAAAAAATTATACCTGACACACACTGAAATGTACAAAGCTGTCAGCGAAGTTGTACCCGATAGAACAATTATTGGCCTTTAAAGAATCCGAGGCTTATGGAGAATTTACCTTGATGACGAATCTGAAAGAGATATCCTTATATCCAAATGCATCACAGTTCGTGGTAAATCAGTCTGGACTTACTCAAGAAATCCACGTGTGACTGCACATGAAAACATCAACAATGTACGAATAAGAGTAAAAGACGTACCTCTTTCAGCAGACGACGGACAAATTATTAGGGAGTTGGAAAAATATGGTTGCTCAATTTTGAGCAACTTTAGAGAACGATTACGATATAACTACAAACTGACCAACTGCCTAACCGGAGACAGGATCATCATTTGTGATGGACCGCTAACAGAGCACATCCCAAGATCCATTCTCATTGGCAAATATAGAGCCACCATCCTCTATCGTGATCAGCCTAAATACAACTTTCAAAATAAAAAATGTTCGAAATGTCTGAAAGAAGGTCATCAAACAAAAGATTGTACCAATGATTGGGTATGCAGATCATTTGGACAAGAAGGACACAAACAAAATGCCTGTACCAAAGATACTTTCTCAGACGTCCCCGAACAATCAGATAAAGAAAACAATGAAACAAGTGATGCGGATGATGAAACTTCTGAATCTGAAACTGGCACTGATGCAACACAAATATCCGTCCAAACCAACAATGATGTAACATGTGAAAGTGCATCAGCTACCGGAGTGAGCGGTCATGAAGGCGCATCATCTACTGAACGTGAAGGTGCATCAACTACTGGATGTGAAGATGACAATGGACAGTCGCAATCTATTATCAATCCTGTAGCTGATCCACAAAAACGAAAGAAAATAAAAAAAAAAAAGAACAGTAATAAAAAGGGTGATCCCAGTCAAGCTCAAATTACCTCATTCATGTCCGGTAATCAGAGCACACAAGAATCAACCAAAAAAACTCAAAATCCATCAAAACAACCTGTTAGTATTACATTTCAGAAGTCCCCAGTAACACCAACTGAGAAGCTTCACGACAAAGAGAGTGATTCTACTGCCAAGAGGTCCAAAACAACTGATACCTAATTATATACATACATGTAGTTAATTTACCTGTGTTTGTATAAGAATCAAAAACACAACAATATGAATATAATGATGTATTAAATTAATATTTTATTATCATTACAGGTATCATTTAACCACAATTCAAAAATTAATAGACCATAAAACTATAAGTCATCATTTAATTCTATATCACTCAATTATCAGTCTATATAATCACAACTAAATATCTCCTCTCTTATTAGTAATTTACAATCCTTTTGTAACTATGTACAATTTCTCACATCCAGTGGTAAGCAGCGTGTGCACAATCTCAACATCTTTAGATCTTTTCTTTATTATTAAAATTCTTTGTGTCTTTTTTTATCACTTATTGCAAAGCTGCATATGTACATTCACTTCACATATATGTTTTCAAAAAGCTTGTCGGAAACTAACTCTTTCCTATATAATTGTAATAAATCCTTCAATAGTTTTGGTTAAAGCGGATATGGGATTATCATCTGTGAATCCATACACCAAACCTCAAAAGGATAAAGTACACCTACAAAAATCAAAACATAGATCGATTATTATAATTGACACTAAAACATTCATAAGTCATACAATACAAATATTGATCATAAACATACTAGTATTTCACTTACTTATCAAGTAGCCAACAATACTATGCAACATTGGCTCTGTAAATACCATGTAAATAATAGTCCAGTATGTATTTTTATAGTACATGTAAAAACATTTAACAATTTTGTTTATATAGTGTTTAGTTTAAAGTCATGTTTTTTTCTATTAATCATCTTTGTATATATTTTTCTATTGATTGTATTTGCATGTATGTATACAAATTTAATGAGTCCAAAATATTTTTTTTTGGACACAAAGGGGTCTGTATTTCAAGTCACATTGTTGACCCAATTCACGACCTATATATTGAGGTCAGTAACTGATATGTTGTGTAATGTTTGCACATTAATAATCATGATAATTATGGTTGTATATAGATGTACATATATAAAGAATTTAATACTGATAAAAATGTCATACAAAAAAAACCAACAAAGCAAGGATAAAGATAAAATCTTAAATTCAAATTCATGTGGATTTACAGGTTCAACTTACTTTCAAACTGAACAGAACTCCTTAATTATACTAGCTCACCTTCTTAATAATAATACAATATGATACATAAAAACTGTATCCATGTCTGCACCGTAAATACCAACGGTTTACAAAAATCTGAAAAAAGAAACAGAATTATTGAATGGGCTAATCAACAAAAATGTAATATAGTATTCCTACAAGAAACTCATTTTACTTACACCTTAGAATCAAAGTTAAAACAAGAATTCAAAGGTGAATTAATTTTAAATAATGGGTTAAGTAATGCAAGAGGGGTGGCTATATGGATAAAAAGCAGATTAAACTACAAGCTTATTGACCAATATAAAGACTCAGAAGGTAGATTCATACTAGTTATTAAATATAGAAATAGATGACAATATATACACCTTAGTGAACCTATATGCACCTAATAATTGTAAAACAAGAAATACTTCTTTTAAATCAGTAAAACAATTAATTGAAGATCATAGTATTGGCCAGTTAATAATTGGGGGTGACTTCAATGACATATTATCTATAAAAGATACCAAGAAAAAATTAGGAAATAAAAAATTTGATAAACCAGTTCATAACCTCAAGACATTGATTAAGAATCTAAAACTTACCGATGTCTGGAGAGGCAAAAACATAAATAAAACCCAATTTACCTGGAGAAGAAAAAACTTTTCAGAATCTACAAGAATTGATTATTTTTTAGTAAGTGATGAAGTTAATAAAAATTGCATTTCATGCGACATAAGACCAATAGTACTTCAACACACTGATCATTACGCCGTTTCATTAAAAATCAACATAAATAGAAACTCAAAAGGGCGAGGTTACTGGAAATTAAACAGTAGCATCCTAGATGATAAACAGTATCAAAAAATTATTTCAAAGTTGATTAATACATATAAAACAAAAGCAGAAACATCTCTAAACCTAGATATTTTATGGGATAATTTTAAAGTTGAGGTAAGGGATTATACCATTCAATACTGTAAATTAAAAGCAAATATTAAAAAAGATAATATTGAAATTTTAGAAAACACATTAAAAACATTATCCGCTTAAATAGATTGTGACAGCAATACACATGAGAGGAAAATTAACCTAAAAGAAAATATAGAAAAACAATTAGCAAGCTTATATAATGAAAAAATTAAAGGAAATCAAATAAGATCACGTGTGAAATGGCTAGAAGAAGGGGAGAAAAACACATCCTTTTTTCTTGGCCTAGAAAAAACAAGGCAAAGTAAAAAAACTATAACTCAACTGTATGATGAAAATAAACAGGTAACATATGACCAAAACAAAATAATAAATCTAGAAGTTAATTATTATACTAAATTATATACTTCAACAAAACCTGACACAGAAGAGGTAAGAAAGTACTTTGAAACTATTAAAGAATGTAAAAAAATTAATGAAAATGAAAGCAATATATGTGAAGGAAAAATTACTATAAGTGAATTCACAGAGGCTATATTTAAAATGAAACTGAACAAAGCCCCAGGTTTGGACGGACTAAATGTTGAGTTTTATAGAAAATTCTGGGAACAAATTAAAGATTTGATAGTACCCGTTTTCAATTATTGCTTTAAAAAAGGTGAATTAACCAACTCCCAAAAAATTGGAGCTATATCTCTTTTGTATAAAAAAAATGATCCACTCTCCCTTGATAACTATAGACCTATCACATTATTAAATTATGATGTTAAATTATTAGCCTATGCCTTAGCGCAAAGATTAAAATCAGTACTTCCAAAAATAATTCACTCTGATTAAAAAGGTTACATAAAAAACAGATACATAGGATTTAATATTAGACAAATCCAAGACATCATTGATTATTCTGAAAAATTTAAAGTAGATGGTGCAATTTTATTTTTAGACTTTACTAAAGCTTTCGACTCACTGGAGTGGTGTTTTATGTTTGAATCTTTAAAAAAATTTGGTTTTAAAAAGGAATTCATTAAATGGGTTGAAACTATGTATACAGATATAAAAGGGTGTATTTTAAATAATGGATGGGTGTCTGCCCCCTTTAATACATTCCGTGGGATTAGACAAGGGTGTCCGTTATCCTCATTAATTTTCGTTTTATCTGTTGAAATAATGGCAATTAAATTAAGGGAAAATAACAAACTAAAAGGATTTGAAATCAAATTAGATGGAAAATCTTGCTCGCTAAAAATATGTCAGTTGGCAGACGATACTCAATTGTTTTTAAAAACACGCAAAGAAATAAGTATAGCCCTTAACATTATTGAAACTTTTGGAAGCCTTTCTGGACTTAAATTGAATAGAAATAAAACAGAAGGTTTGTGGCTTGGGAAACTTAAACATTCAAAAGATAAATTTGAAAATATAAACTGGAAACAAGACCACATTAAAAGTCTAGGAATATATTTTGGATACAATTATCAAGAATGTCATAAATTAAATACAGAAAAGCAAATAGACAAGTGTGAAAAATTAATTCAAGGATGGAACAAACGAAACTTAACATTAATAGGAAAGATAACTGTAGTTAAGTCTTTAATTTTACCAAACCTAACATACATTGCATCAAGTATGATAATAACACAGGAAATAAAGCAAAAGTTCAAGAATTTAATATATAATTTTATATGGAGTGGAAAAAAAGATAAAGTTAAACGTACTATATTATGTAAACCATATCTTGAGGGAGGATTACAAATGATTGATTTAGACTGCTATCTTAAATCATTACAAATCAGATGGGTTTTAAAACTAATCAAAAAGGAAAATGATAACTGGAAAATTATTCCAAGATTTTACCTTGATAAATTTGGGAAAGATCTTCTTTTATTCAGAATGAATTTAACAAATGTTAATTTGCTTAATAAAATAGATTATAAATCTTTACCTGAATTCTATAAACAATTAATTAAAACATGGGTAGAAATAAAAGGAGGTCAAACAATCACACCAAGAAACTTTCTTTAGGTTAGAAAACAACTTATATGGGGAAATCATCTTATCAAAGAAAATGGGAAATGTTTGTTCTTTCAAAACTGGGTTAATAGTAATATTTTGTACATCAATAATATATTAGATGAAAACGGATACATCTCATCAGAAACTGTACTAAAAAATTTAAAGAATAAACAAGATTGGATTAGAGAATTTTCATTAGTTAAAAAAGCTATACCAAAGCACTGGCAAAATATTTTAAAACAAGAAAGCTCTTACAAAACTGTTGTCAATATAAAAACATCAGTGAAGTTAAATATACTACTAAAACATGAAATTTCACCAGATATGAGTAACAAAGAAGTATATACTTTCTTGCAAAGTCAATTTACACATGATAAACCGACAGGAGTTTTAATGTGGGAAAGAATTCTTCATAAAAAAATGACTACAAAATTGAAGTCCACATTTAACTTTATTTTTAACTACCTTGAAAACAACAAATTTAAAATGTTTAAATGGAAAATAATACGTTATATATTAGCCTGTAATGAATTACTTTATAAATGGGAAATAGTACCAAGTGGTTTGTGCTTCTATTGTAAGCAACATGATGATTATAAACACTTCTTTTTTTCCTGTTCATATAATGTTCATTATTGGCATAAAGTTGACCAGCTATTAGCATTTTTAAAAATTGATAAGCATATACTTAGTCTTGAAAGTTTAGTAACTGGCTATAAAATTGATGATGAAGCTTATTTTGATATGAACTATCTATTAACTATAATTTTCTTTTCCATCTATAAAGCATATTATATGTCTGACAAGAAAGATAAGGTCATTGATATCTTCAAAATCCTCAAAAATGAAATCTGGGACATTATTAACATAAATAAAATCAGAAGCAAAAAAAACAAGAAAATAATACTTAAAACAAGGGAATATTTCGAATTCCTTTAAATGAAATGACAATTATTAGATACAAGTCTTAGCTGTGACCTCATTAATACATGACTGCACATGTGTCCAGTCAATTGGTGTGCATTAACTAAAATTCGCAATTTTACTCTTTTATAATTTATTGATAAAAAAATCATATACAGTATAGGTTAAGAAACGTACCGTATTCCGGTAAAAAAACAAAAATTATGTAGAATTGTTCTAATGTATTGATCTGTATTAATATAACTTACTTTATAGATATACTTTATTGAATATCTTTCCCTAGATATTCAATAACTAATTTAAAGGGATACTTAATTGAAGCTGTAGATTGAGTAAATTGTTAACAGCAAAGGTGCAATAAAATTGATTAATTAAAAAAAAAACAAAAAAAAAACATAAAGAATAGAGAAAAATGGACCAAAAGAATAAATAATAGAGAATAATGAGATGCTAAAATATAAAGAATAGAGAATAATGGGCAAAAAGTATAAAGAATAAAGAAAAATGGCCTTAAAATTAAAGAATACAGAAATTAAGGACCCCCAATCTAGACCCTCATCCAGTTGTTGTATTGTTTTGTGTATTTGACTGTTGAAAAAATAAATAAATAAAACAAACAAACAAACAAACAAAAATACGATATCCCTCTATTCTCGACTGTTCAATTTCAAATATTTAAAACGCTCGGCAAGCTTACTTTTTAAATTTGAAAATTTAACTGTCTCAAGTGGGAAAATTTCGTCTCGACCTCGAAACAGTGGTATAGAATCTATATGAACATAATTTTTCAAATTTAGAAACAATTTAATTATATGTAATATTTTCCCATTCTATTTTAGTAATAACAACTTAGACATTAGCATTGGATATGATTGTCATTCTATTTAGAGGTCAAGTCGATTCAATTGAAACACCAAGCCAATACCATCAACACATCGATGACCTTATCGAGGTTTTTTCCCTCGGAAATAAACGTTGAACCTTCAACGTTGTTCCTACAACTGCACAATCTCAAATATATCTTATGCGTTTGTTTCAAATAGAAATGCATTAAAGAATTTGGAGAAGAAGAAACATACATGTATTATATCTTTAATCCACCATTTTCTACATAGGAAATGCCTGTACCAAGTCAGGAATATGGCAGTTATTTACATTCATTTGATGTGTTTGAGCTTTTGATTCTGCCATTTGATAAGGGACTTTCCGATTTGAATTTTCCTTGGAGTTCGGTATTTTTGTT